GGTGACAGCACAGACTGGTGGCAATCAGGGAGTAGGCCACCTGCCCATAAGACCCTGAGTCCTAGGAATGAGGGAGGAGGCCACCTGCCCATAAGACATTGAGTCCTAGGAATGAGGGAGGAGGCCCCTTCCCATAAGACCCTGAGGCCTAGGAATGAGGGAGGATCCCCACCCCTATAAGCCCTTAAGGCCTAGGTCCCACACAAAGGAAACTAACAGCTTCTGCTTTTCTAAAAAGCTGCTTATCTAGGAACCTCCAATGAGAAAGGAACATGGTAGTCTCACCACTCAGCCCTATGTAATCTTATATAAAGCTAGGAGGAAAGCCTTATCTAGGAGCTCCGTATTTGGAATGTTAGACCACCCATGCTCTGCCGACAATAAAGCCTCTTCCTCTAATATTACTGGTGTTCAGTGATTTCTTTCTCCTGTTCTTGCCTCGTCTTCCTGCAACACCAAAGGCAGTGGCATGGAAAGAGAGCAGCTATGGACTCTAGGCCCACAGACTGAGGAAGGCAGTGTGCCTATAGGCAGGAGACTGGCTTGCAGAATGTGTCCTTTGAACATTTAAATGAAAAGATATTTTGTTTGCATATGTGCATCAAATATTTTTGCTTTGTTCATTTGTGACATATAAGATATAAGTGGGGCCAGTTCTTAGCTGGACGTGCTTTACTTATATCATTTTAGAAGCAAGTATGACTTTATTTACAGAGTATGCATATAGTTTATAGGTTGTGAGTTGACAACAATAGGCTGTAATGGTTAGGCTCCTGGGCCAACTTGACAAGGCCAGGATTTCCAAGGGTTTAAGAGTTGCAATTTGCTTATTCCCTTGGTGATGAAACCTAATACAGGCATAGTTACCTCTGATGAGTGGCTCTGAGCAGCCAATCAAAGAGATGCTTCCTGGGGGTCTGACCTGCTCCCAATATAATGGGTGTGCAAGAAGGACTCTTCTCTTTCTCTTTCCTGGGGACCTTGTTGTTGTTAGGTGCCATCGAGTCAGTACCGACCCATAGCGACCTTATGCACAGCAAAACGAAACATTGCCCAATCCTGGGCCAACCTCACTACTGTTACCACACTTGAGGCCATCAATGCTGCTACTTGGCCAATCCATCTTGTTGGAGGTCTTCCTCTTTTTCTCTGACCCTCCACCTTACCAAACATGATATCCTTCTCTAGTGACGGGTCCCTCCTGACAATATGTCCAAAGTATGAGAGACGAAGTTTGGCCATCCTGGCCTCCAAGGAGCACTCTGGCTGCACTTCTTACAAAACAGATCTATTGGTTCTTTGGCAGCCCATGGCACTTTCAATATTCTCCTCCAACACCATAACTCAAAAGCATCAATTCTTCTATGGTCTTCCTTATCCACTGTTCAGCTTTCGCTTGCATACGAGGTTATTGAAAATACCATGGCTTGGTCAGGTGCATCTTAGTCTTCAAGCTGGCATCTTTGGTCTTCAACACTTTAAAAAGTTCTTGTGCAGCAGATTTGCCCAATGCAATATGTTGTTTGATTTCTTGACTGCTGTTTCCGTGAGTGTTAATAGTTGATTCAAGAAGAACGAAGTCCTTGACAACTTCAATCTTTCCTCCGTTGACAAGAATGTTGTTTATTGCTCCAGTGGTGAGGATTTTTGTTTTCTTGACATTGAGATGTAATCCATACTGAAGGCTGTGCTCTTTGATCTTCATCAGTAAACGTTTTAAGTCCTCTTCACACTCAGCAAGCAAGGTTGTCTCATCTGCATATCGCAGGTTGTTAATGAGTCTTCCTCCAATCCTGTTGCCACGTTTTTCTTCATAGAACCCAGTTTCTCGGATTATTTGCTCAGCATACAGGTTGACTACATATGGTGAAATAATACAACCTTGTTGCACACCTTTCTAATTTTAAACCATTCAGTGTTCCCATGTTCTGTTCGAACAACTGCTTCTCAGTTGACCTGGGACTCTGCAATTTTGTAAGCCATTTCCATGATAATATACTTTTATATATATATATGTGTGTGTGTGTGTGTGTGTGTACATACATATATGTGTTTAACTGGTTTTGCTTCTCTAGAAAACCCAACCTAAGACAGTAAGTATTTTAAGTCCTCTTCACTTTCAGCAAGCAAGATTGTATCATCTGCTTATCTTAGGTTGTTAATGAGCCTTCCTCCAATCATGATGGGCACAAATATGGAATCTATCTTCTCAGATTATTTGCTCAGCATACAGACTGGATAAATATGATGAAATAATACAGCCTTGGCATACATCCTTTCTGATTTTAAACCATTCATCACCTCCTTGTTATGTTTGAATAAATACTTATGGGCAGAAGCACAATTAAGTGTTCTGAATACCCATTCCTAAAGGGGCTCTGGCAGAGTAGTGGTTACAAATCGGGCTGCTAATCTCACAGTCAGCAGTTCGAAACTACCAGCTGTTCCGCAGGAGAAAAATGAGGCTTTCTGCTTCTGTAAATATTTATAGCCTCAGAAACCCTGTACAGGTTTGCTATGAGTTGGAACTGACTCCCCGGCACATAACAACAACAACAAAATAATGTTATCCATAGTTTGGCATGATCCATACAGTCAAAAGCCTTTGCATAGTCAATAAAGCACAAACATCTTTCTAGTATTCTCTGCTTGTAACCAAGATCCATCAGACATTAACAATGATATCCCTAGTTCCATGTGCTCATCTGAATCCTGTTTGAACCTCTGGCTGTTCCCTGTCAATGTGTTATTGCAGCCATTTAAAAATTATCTTTAGCAAAATTTTATTTGCTATTGTCCAATGAATTCTGCCTTCCACTGGGTGGGTCTGTTCTCTTTGGAATGGGCAGAAATATTAAAGGAAAGAGAATCTTGTGGAAAAGATGGAAATAATGGAAGAACTGATGGAAAATTTCATCAGAGAAAAATGTTACAGTTCTAGAACAGAAATGAAGAGTTTATTGACTAGATTTAACATCAGATTAGACATAAAAGAAAAAGGATTGGTGAACTCTAAAACGGGTCAATAGAAATTAAGCACTAAGGGAAAAAGAAAAAATTGTCCATGAATCCCTTATGGAACAGTTCTAAACAATCTAACTTCCGTGTCAATTAGAAAACTAAAAGAATAAAAAGAGAAGTGTACAGGAAAATATTTGAATAGATGAGGGCACAGAATTTTCCAAAATTCATGCAAATCATCAACCCTATAGAACCAAGGAAATCTTAAGCAAAAAATATACAAAGCAGCAACACCTAGTGTATCATAGTCAAACTGCCAAATATCAAAGATAACCACAAAATCTTAAAATACAGTGCCATCCATGATACCAGGTAGAAATTCATTATAGACTGTCAAATCGTTATAAGTAGTGAAGTATTCACATTTCCTTGTATTAAATCCCAAATTCAACGCAAAAATATCATGTATAGAAGATCTAACTTTGTTGTCAGGAAATACTTTGTGCCCTGCTTCTTTACTTGAACTCTGGTCATGCAAATTGACTTTTTATCCAGAAAATTTGGCTCAGAATCATTTGACTTTTTCTTGCTTGGTAGGCCGTTGTCTAACTTTCATTAAATGCCAACATTATATTCAGCATGTAAATTATAATTCTTAAAATCACACAAAAATCAAATACAGCCTCATCATAATCTAACCTTAACTCCAGTTCTATTTCCTATTATACACATGATGTATTTTCAAAATTATTTTCCACCACTGAAAAATGCCACATACTGATACACACACACATGTGCATGTGCACATACACACAGTGTCTACTGTTTTCTCATGACAGTCTCTTCATTAGTAAATCCTCTGCACCCTCCAAATTTTGTCCATTATAATAAAAAAGTGGGTTTTCAGTTTTGACCCAATATTTGATGGCCTCATTTTTCAGCCCACAGTTTCTCAAGCAGAGAGACTAGTGGAACCCAGAGGCTAGTGGACCTGCAAGTTCTGATAGCAATTACTAAGACTATCTAAAAAATTTTAAATGCTTAAAATTCACTGTAAGTAGTAAACACAGTATTAAAAGAGTTGTGAACATACAGTCATTCACAAAAGGTCAGTTTAAAATTTTCCTTGAGGGATAAAGACTATCTAGTAGACATACTGCCGTGATACACAACACAAAATTGGAGGAACAGCCCCTTATCCTGTGATAAATATTTTCTACTACACACTAAAGAGTCACCATTCATATCTGAAACCTTCACTGGTGACTCTCTACCAGTTTGTAAAGTAAATCAGACAACGTTTGAACCATTGTAATTGTTAGAAAATGGGGTCAGCTGGCATAGTGAGTCAGCAGTTCAACCTCTCCACCACTCCACAGGAGAAAGAGAAGCCTTTCTGGTCTCCTAAAGATTTACAGCCTTGGAAATCCTATCCAGGGTGGCTGTGAGTTGGAACTGACTCTACAGCACTTAACAACAGCAACAATTGTTACAGGATTCCGCTCCATGTTGAGAAGCTATACAGTCATTCATGCTGTTTACCAAATATTTCCTGTTCCTCATGTTCTGAGCATATGGAAGTTTTGTACTTCCTGGCCCCTTGTGGTTGGGTGGGGTAACCATTTGACTCATTGTGGTTAACGATCTGTGAGTGGGAATGACATGTGTCGCCACAATGACGAGTGTCACTCCACTCTTTGGCATACAGGAGAATGGATTGAGCAGCGTGCCCAGCTGTTCTGCAGTGGGCATGTAGCATGAGTGGAAAATAAGATTCTGTTGTGTTAAGTCATGCAGATACTATTTGTTGTCAAAGAATAACAGGCTTATATTGACTCTGTCTTGGTTTTCCCCTGTATTTACTCAAGTCTAGCTATGGGTCAGAATTGACTCGACGGCACTTAATAACAACAGCCTTAACACTTCTCTAATTATGACTGTCACGACCACAGGTAATAGTCACAGGCTACAAAGATAAGGACCTAGTGGTTGTTTGTCAGGGTCATGTTAAAACCAATAGCAGAGGACCATACAGATACAGATACTCATAATACAAACTTCAGTAGCTAAGCTGAATGGAGACACTGAACATCATGAGTCTACAAAGCTGCCACTTGAGAGCATTTCCTTGGTTGAAAGTCTTCTAAATGCATTTTAAATTATCTCTTGACATGAACCATATTCTTCTTGTCAGGTACCATCGAATCAGTTTCAATTCATTGTGACCACAAGCAAAATGGAACGAAACACGACTCGGTCTGATGTTTCATTCAGCAACAGCCCATTGTTGCCGCTACTGTATCAATCCATCTCATTTGTGGTCTTCCTCCTTTTGCTGACCCTCACTTTACTAAGCATGATGTCCTTCTCCAGGGACTTGTCCTTCCTTACAACATGTCCAAACTATAAGAGACGAAGTTTCTTCATCCTCACATCTAAGTAGCATTCTGGCTCTACTTCTTTCAAGACAGATTTGTTTGATCTTCTGGCAGTCCATGGTACTTTCAATAGTCTTCTCCAACACCATAATTCAAACGCATTAAATCTTTTTTGACCTTCCTTATTCATTATCCAATTTTCATATGCATATGAGGTGATTGAAATACTATGGCTTTAAGGCAGGTGCACCTTAGTCTTCAAAGTGACATCTTTGATCTTTAACAACTTAAAAGAGATTTTGTGCAGCAGATTTGTCTAACGCAGTACATTTCCTTGTTTCTTGACTGCTCCTTCCAGGAGCATTGACTGTGGATCCAAGCAAATGAAGTCTTTGACACCTTCAATCTTTTATCCTTTTAGCCTGATATTGTTTATTGATCTAGTTATGAGGATTTTTGTTTTCTTTACACTGAATTGTAATTCATACGAAAGGCTGTTTCTTTGATCTTCAGCAGCGAATATCTCAAGTCTGCTTCACTTTCGGCAAGAAAGGTTGTGCCATCTTCATATCACAGGTTGTTAATGAGTCTTCCTCTGGATCTGACGCCATGTTCTTCTTCATATAATTTAGCTTCTCTTATTATTTGCTCAGCATACAGAGTGAATAAATCTAGTAAAGGGATTTTAAATATTGATCATATCAATCCTCGTTGTTCAAACTTGCCCTGTTTAATCTCTTCTATAATTTAAAAAGGGAAATAAATAGTCGGGGGTTAAAATCACAAACTTTGTCATCAGAAAAATTTAGGATTAAATCCCAATTTACCACTTGTTGTTGTTATGTGCCATCGAGTCGGTTCCGACCCATAGCGACCCTGTACAGGGTTTCCGAGGGTGTAAATCTTTACGGGAGTAGAAAGCCTCATCTTTCTCCCGCGGAGCAGCTGGTAGTTTCGAACCGCTGACCTTAAGGTTCGCAGCCCGATTCGTAACCACTACGCTACCAGAGCTAGTAGCTGTTTACTATTGAACAAGTTATTTGAGCTCTGTAGGGTTCAGTATCTTTACCTGCAGTATCAGATAATGCAATCCTTGTGGTAAACAGAATAACTAAGTGAAAAACCAAGCCCATTTCTACTAGATCACTTCTGATCCCTATGTGTTAAAGAGTAGACCTGCTTCATAGGATTTTCTTGACCACAATCTTTACAGAAACAAATGGCTAGGCCTTTCTTTTGTAATGTTGCTACCTCCAACGTTTAGGTAAGTGTTGTTAATTGATGATGAGTTGGTTCTGACTCCATAGCAACCCTGTATAGGGTTTTTGAGGCACGGCAGGTGATCTCGAACCACTGACCTTGTGATTCAAACTGACCTTGCAGCCCAACGAATTAATTCATAGTGCCACTTAAACATTTGCAGCACCCAGAGACCTAGACAAAATAATGACCCCTCAAAAAGTCCAAATCCTAACCCTCAAACCTAAGAATATGTTAAAACACGGCAAAGAAGAACTAAGGATGTGGATGGGATTAAGTTTGTTAACCAGCTGAGCTTGAAATGCAAAGGCTCACCTGGTGAGTCAAATATGATGACAAGATCCTAAAATGTGGAAGAGAAAGACAGAAAAAAGAAAACATTACAGTGATGCTATATTGGACTCAACTATCCATTGCTGGCCTTGTAGATGCAAGAGGGCCCAGGACTAATGAATGAATGCAGCTTCTAGAAGCTGGAAAAGGCAAGTAACCAAATTCTCTCCTAATGGAACACAACACTGCCAGCATCTTGATTAGCACTTAGTGAGACCCATTTCTGGCTTCTTACCTGCAGAATTACAAAATACTGAAGTAGTGTTTTAATCCACTAACTGTGTGGTAATTTGTTACAGTAGCAACAGGCGACTAATATAGCTAGTCCCCAATTTATTATGGGTTCCATTCTAATGACTCTGTCATAAGTCATCCATGACACAAATCAAAGACCTCATTTTTTGAAAGTTTTCATTATTATTGCCTTTTATTATCAGTATCTTAATAAATCATAACATTGCACATCTGCAAGTGAACATGTGAAAATTATAACATCAGCAAATTATGAACTCTAACATTTTATGCAGTACATATTAGTAATGGAAAGATATTACCACCACCACCCTCAAAAGACAGCAATAAGTGTGGTTTGTCATAACTCAGATACCTTATAAGTCAGGGACTACCTGTACATTCCTCATAGGATTCATATAAGCTTAGACTTTGAATGTGGTGGATAATTAATCTCTTTCATGTTTCTTATATCCTAGGCACTGTATATATCTTAATTCCAACAAAAGTTTATTGGAAGAAATGTCTTCATTTTGCCAACCAACAACTTAAAGCTCACAATGTTGGTGAAAGTTTCCAATCACTTGCTATTGTTGTTTTAAGGTGCCCTCAAGCAGTTCTGACTCACAGTAACTCGATGTAGACTAGAGCAAAACACTGCTGAGTCCTGTGCCATCCTCACAATTGTTGTGACACTTGAGCCCACTGTTGGAGTCATTGGATCCATCCATCTCATTGAGGCTCTTCCTCTTTTACGCTGACTTCACCAAACATAATGTACTTTTGAAGGGGCTGGTCCCTCCTGATAAAATGATTTAAGTATGTGAAAAAAACCTCATCATCTTTGCTTCTAAGGAACATTCTCGTACTTTTTCCAAGACAGACTTTTTTGTTTTTCTGTCAGTTAATGTGCTTTCAGTAATCTTTGCCAACACCACACTTCAAAGACATCAATTGTTTCTCTGTCTTCCTTATTCATTATATAGCTCTCACATGAATATGAGGCAATTGAAAATACCATGACTTGGGTCAGGCTCATCTTAGTCCTCAAAGTTACATCTTTGCTCTTTAACACTTTGGTTTGACATAACTTTGAAGAGATGTTTTGCAGCAGATGCCTGGTACAATATATCATTTGATTTCTTGACTGCTGCTTCCACGAGTGTTGATTATGGATCCAAACAAAATGAAATCCTTTGACAACTTCAGTCTTTTCTCAGTTTATCATGATGTTCATTTACTGGTCTAGTTGTGAGAATTTTTGTCTTTTTTACACTGAGATGTAATTCAAACTGACGACTCCAATCTTGGATCTTCATCATCTAGTTCCTCGAGTCCTCCTCACTTTCAGTAAGTTTGTGTCATCAGCATATCACAGCTTGCTAATAAGTCTTCCTCCAATCCTGATGCTACATTCTTCTTCACATTGTTCAGTTTCTCAGATTATTTGTTCAGCAGACATACTGAATAAGTATGGTGAAAGAACACCACACTGATTTACACTTTTCTTGATTTTAAACAATAAAGTATCCCCTTTTTCTGTTCAAATAACTGCCTCTTGGTCTATGTACAAGTACCACATGAGTGCAACTTAGTATTCTGGAATTCCCATTCCTATTAATATTATCCATAGTTTGTCATGATCCACATAGCTGAATGCCTTTTCATAGTCAATAAAACATAGGTATATGTCTATCTGATATTCTTTTCTTTCAACCAAGATCCATCTGTGGGTCTAATCACTTAGGTACTAAGAGGAAGAAGAAAAAAATGTGTGTCAACTTGACTGGGTCAGGATTCCCAGTGTTTTGGCAGTTGAGATGTGGTTATTCTTATAGTGAAATTGAATGTAAGCATAGTTAACTGTATCATGATTGGCTTTGAGCAGCCAATCAATTGAATGGATTTTTACTTGGGGAATATGGCCTGCTACCAATATAATAAAGATGCAGGAAAGCCTCATTATTTTTTCTACTGGGGACTTGGGACTCTACACTTTTGAGCCATTTCCATGTCATAAGCTCTTATATCATACACATGTACTGAGAGTGGGGTTCTATATAAACAAAATCACAAGGATTTGTTTTCTAAATTAATTCCCAAGTCTGACTAATTTTAAAGGCACTAATAACTCTGCCTCCACTAGTAAAATGATTATAGGATGAGCCATGTCTGACCTTCACTCATAGGAATCAATCTTGGGCTGATTTTGAGTTTGGTTTTCTTTCCTCCTTATGGAGTCAGAGAAAGTCAGACATGGGCCCCACCTTTTTTTGTTTTGTTTTGTTTTGCAGTTGGTGTCAGGAGCAGGATTCATTGCAATAACTCCAGACTCATGGAAGCATGAGATGTTTGTAAGACAAAGAATAAAGATGCATGGGAAGTGAAATTTTGGATTTTTAAATGGCAATAATGGTTTTGGTTAGAGATAAAATGTTTTAGCTGAGGTGAGAATAGCAGCTTCCAGAGTAGCCTACTGCAGATTTCAGGCTGGTCAAATATGATGGCTGATAAGGGGCAGGGCCTATTGGATCCACCCTGCCAGAGGCCAAAGACCATGTGCATCTGACCATAGTCCAAGGATGAGGAAAAGATCAAACTTGAGTGGTTCTAGCTTTATGCGCTTGACTGCCTTATGGATATTTGTTTGTCCTGCTTGTTACATGTGTGATGGAAATTAATATTGGGATTATGACTACAGACAGCTTGTAGACCCACCTTCAACCTATACTTGATTGGGTTTGCTAAAAGGGGAGTTAGAACTTGCCCAGATAATACCTTGTTTTAAGCCTTTGTAGAGTATGGGGCTTTAGGTGGAGTCCTTAGCTGCATTCAGAACCTTAATAGCTGGGACA